GGTGGGTTGTTTCTCTGCGGTGTGGTATAAACAACCCGGCCAAGGCTGACGCCGGAGCTGCTCTGTGCACACCGAAAAATGGGGGTATCCCCATCCCCCCCCCAAAAAAACCAACCCCCCCTCACTTTTGCCGCACAAATTCCTCCGTCACCAGCTTCTTGACGTCTCCGAAGACCTCGTGTCGCTCCCTAAGGGTGGGAAAATTAACAAGGTGCAGCAGTAACGAGCCCTGATCCTCCTCGCTCTGTGTCCCCTCTCCGTATCCTACCCTGGTTGTAGCCGGAGCCGGCGGAGAAATTCCCACACAGCACCTGGAAAAGGGGGTGTCAGTGAGGAGGGGACACAAAGAAAAGGGGTACAAGGAGGAGATTTGGGAGGGGGGGCTCACCATCTTTAGCTGAGTTTCCCTTCATGAAGATGAAGCTGAGGATGACCATGAGAAGCCCCAGTCTGGCTGTCTGGTTGTCTCTGTGGCAGAGGGATTAAGTGTGTCACTCACCTGAGTGGAGGTCACACTCTGATAGGGTCTCCCCTCCCCAAATCACCCTGGGGTCCCCCAAAACCAGCCCCTCACCTGTGCATGTTCTCCCCCTCAGCACGAGGCAGGTTGCTGGTGAGGATGTAGATGTGATGTTTGGTGTCAATCTCCACCAGCTGCAGCCCAAATACCTGTGAGAGGCAACTGGTTAATCTAGCAGGGGGGGCGATCCCCCCACAATTCCCCCCTCATCCCCCTCCAAACCTGCTGCAAGGTCCTGCCTGCCCGGTTGACAATCTCTGAGTAGACATCTTTGTATTCCCTGATGACTTTCTTCAGGATATCTGCAGGAAAAAAGGGAAGGAATCACTGAGTGAGCCCAGATACCTGCGGTCCCAGTGTGCAGTCAGGTTTGGGGGCATCCTAAACCTTTGGGAGAGAGCTCCCCTAAACTCACCCACTCTCTTGATGGGGATCTTCTTCTGGTCTTTCACAAGGAGGAACTGAACCAGCTCACTTACCTGTCAGGGAAGCCAAGAACTGGGTGATAATGGAGCTAAGACACATCTCTCTGGTGGGGGAAGGAGAGGGGATCACTTCAACCCACCTTCTGATTCACTTGATCCTGGGAGCGTCTCTCCAGGTTCCTCTGTACCTGGCTGTGCGTCGGGGTCTGGCTCACCCCATAATCTTCATCCTCATCCTTCCCCTGTGAGGAAAATCCAGGGAGATGCTGCCGCAAAAAGGAATCCCACCCCCCTGAGTGGAAGGGGATGGTGGGAGCAGCCTTTTACCTGAGAGAAACCTGACCCTTTACTGCGCTTCCTCTGAGACATTTCTCACAGCAGCACTGAGGGAAAAAGAAGCGCCGAGCGGGTTAAAACTGCGACAAGACCATCCCTATCGCTTCCCCCCGCATCTCCTTCCCGGTTTTCCCCCTTCAACC